CCTTGATTTCTGATCTTGCAATTCTGCTTCCCCAGAATTTTGTCCGTAAGGAATGAGTGCTTTGACCTGCCAATTTGTATACCGGCTTGGGCTTGACAATATTTCTCAGTGTAAAATAATAAAGAAGCTTTCTAGCCTCAGTATAAAATAACAAGTCAGACTTCTACATCAGCTACTTGAGAACACTGGGGCACAGAGGGGAGCTACAAATTCTCAAGAACAGTCTTTGTCATCCTTTAATTATCATCATCAGAATAAGACACCACCCCAGGCAGGGCGCCCCCTAGAATGCCCTGGGTCTTTATCTATATAAACAATTTGATTAAAAGTTATATTGCAAAATTCTTGGGCTCAAGTGAGGTACAATAATTCATCAATGGAAATTTGGAACAATAGAAAAGAGGTCCTTATGCATTTGCTTGTTGTTCAATAAGTGACCATAAAGTTTCTTCATAGTGTCCAAGCACAGCTCTTCCTGTTCAAACCCAGAAGTGAACTCTTTGTGTTCTTATTGTCAAATGCACTGCTTCCAGCTAACCTCATACCTGTCCCCACAAGAAAAATGTAGTAATACTGTAATTATGACATTGTGGCTCTCAAGAACCTGTTTGTATTATAACAGTTTAGATCTGCTCCCATGTGCCCTTCCTATGTGACTACTGACTTAATACCAGCAACATCTTCGTTCATGACACTGAATCACTCATTCTGCTAGTTGTGAATATTGGCTGCCAGGGACACTGTCAAATGTTGTTGCTGGGCTTCATTGATGATGACCATAAATCACAACTGCCTAGATTATATAGGAATAAATGAAGAATAACTCTCTCTCTGGTCACGTTAAGTTTACATTTAAAATTTTATATCATCATTGTAAAATAGCACATCTTCCAAGTACATTTCCTCTTGAATTCTTAAGGCCACAGCAGTGACTTTATAGATTGTGATCTCTTCAGTGTTGATTGCATTGCTGCCTCCCACACACCAGCGGTAGGGAGGTTAGGTGCGGGGCTGGGGCAGCTGGAACACTGGTCCCATTCACACAAAGAAAGCCCACCATTTAACTGGCAGGGATTAAAACCCACTAGGGAGAGCATGAGGTCATTAGTTGGAAAGGTCTGTTGGCATCACAGAGCACAAGACTTGAAAGCCCTTATGGACACAGGTGTGACCACCCTGAAGACCTACCTGACATATGACAGAGTCTTTGGAGGGGTGGGGTGACTGCCCTGTGTGCCAGTAAAAAGTTGGCTGCCGCCCCTACAAGCCCTGAGTGCTGCAGAATGGGGCAGCACCATGGTTGGAACACACATGGTTGACAGCAGAAGCATGAGTTCACCATGCAGCTGGAGGCCAAGGGGTGGTGGTGTGCCTTTGGCAGCCGGGAGGGTGGAGCCCTCACGAAGGGGGTTAGTGCCCTTATGGGAAGACACACAAGAGCTTGCGCTCTCTCTCTGCCCTCCAGCACATGAGGACACAAGAAGACGGCCATCTGCAAACCATGACCTGTGCCCTCCCCAGACATCAGGTCTGCTGATGCCTTGATCTTGGGATTTTCTAGCTCCCAGAAACGTGAGAAATAAATTTATGTTGTTTAACCCACTACATCTAGTTTGCTGCAGCAGCCCGACTTACTAAGTTGGTTATGTTACATAAATGCAGACCTTGAGGATCTTAAAAATATTTTGGCTCCTAAATGTATTAAGTAGCCTCTGGCCTAGGAGTCAGGAGTCCTGATTTCTGTTAATACTACACTTTATTGTGCTATTAATTTAAATTTACAGATGAGTGACAAAAATAGTGCACAGAATTTTATATATCCTTTACACAAGTTCACCCATTGTTTGCATTTTGCCTCATTTTGCTTGCATTTTGTTTGTCATTTTATCTATCTATAATATACAATATATATTACATAAATGCATGTATATATGAATACATATACATATCTATATGCATACATATACATACAAATGCATGTGTGTGTATACAGGCATATATTCATTTTCCCCTGAACCATTTGCAAATGAATGCATATACCCTAAATATTTCCTAAGAGACATTATTGTAAATGCAGTGCAATTATCAACATTGTTAAAAAGATTAATATTGACAGAATACAATGATATAAACCATAGTCCATTTAAGGTTTTGTCAATTGTCTCAGCAACATCCTTCACTTTGGTACTTTCTAAGAATCCAGGCCAGTTACTCTCTTGAGTGTCCCTCAGTATGGGTATTGTATTCCCTCAGTAATGTATTCCCATCAAGTCTTTCTCTAATTTTAACATCCATTGATAATTTTATAAGTCAATCTTTTAATGTATTTTCTGTTATTCTAGTTAAAGAAGTTTTTCTTTTTACTTATTTGTTTACATATGTATATCTATATGTATCTATATATATAGATAGATAGCTATCAGTACAGAATCAAGATGTTTTCAAATTATTTTTTAAAGACTTTACTTATTTATTTTTGGAGAGAGGGGAGGAGAAGGAGAAAGAGAGGAAAAAAACATCAATGTGTGGTTGCCTCCCATGTGCCCCCTACTGGGGACCTGGCCCACAACCCAGGCATGTGCCCTGACTGGGAATCGAACCAGCAACCCTTTGGTTCACAGACCAGCACTCAATCCACTGAGCTACACCAACCAGGACAATCAAGATTTTACTTTATTCAGTGGGTTATACAGTAGTACAATCATTTATTTTGATATTCAACTTGTCCCAGATTTTAAAAACATAGATTTTAATAACACTTCTGACTCTAAGAAGCTATGTGAACTGGGTCAAGTTGCTTTGCTTGTTGAGTTCCAATTTCTCATTTTGCATAACGAGGGTACTCTGCTAGAAAACATATAACTTCTTTTTTGTTGTTGTTTAGGTTTAAAGAACAAAAAAACCTAATTTTTCTTCTGTCCCTTTTGAAAGGCCTTTTTTAATGGTTGTTTTTGTTTTGAGAGTATTTTTTACTCAGCTGCATTTTAAAAATCACTTCAATAGCCATAATGGTGGTTAATCAGTCCAAAACAACACACGATTAGTTAATTCATTTATTCCTTAGCATGGGGAGAAGGAGGAGCAGAGTGCGGCCCTTTGTATCAAACAGGACGGAATAAATTGAAGACCTCTGACCCTCAGCAGGAAACACTCACCGCTTCCTCTGACAATGGCAGCTCTTCCCCAATAAGCCATTGTTCTTGGAACTAATGGCCAGAGAATTCTCACCCACCTCTTCATCTTCCCTCATCTCCCCCACTATTTCCCCACCCACTGAGATCCCTAACCCCCAAAGCCCCATGGTTCTCTCTCCATTACATGCTTTTATGACCAGGGCGGGTTTGGTTTTATTACTGAGAACTGGGAGGGTGATCTGGAGAGGAAGAAGGAGCATCCCTTTTGTGTGCTCCTCTAACTCTTATCGGCAAGCAGGCTGAGGCTCTGCTCACAACTGCGTGGTTGGGGTGCCGTGTAAGTCGTGCGTGTGTGCAGATATGCTCCTACACACACTCTGCAAGAAACATCACTTAATAACTAATTTTTAATTTCTGTTTATAAAAATTCTTAGACATTGTGGAATATACATTTAACTGAGTTATAATTTTATTCTTTCTTCACAATGTTGATTAAACTATTAGGAACATTTTTAAATTAGCATTAAAGCCAAAGGAACAAAAGTTTTTTTTAAAAATGAGGAACATCCATACGATCCTTTAAAAAATGTGTCCTTTAGTCATTTTCTATCGAGGGTTTCTGGCAGTTTTGCATTGTCACCTCCCTATCTTGCAACCAGCCAATCATGAAGACAACCAAATGGAAAGGGTTTCCTTCTTTTTTTCCTTCTTTTTTTTTTAAAACACTCCTATCAGCTTCCTAGGGCAATATCAGTCTCATTATCAAAACATCTCTCACCTTGTCTCCCCAAAGACTATGGTTTGGGGAGGGAAGAGGGAACAATTATTTACAGACCCTTCACAATATTTCCAGGCAAAAATAAGCCCAATACAAATTGCCTTTCAACTAGATTCCCAGTTGTTTGGAAATACAGACTTTTTCTGTTCCTTGAGGCATTCCGTGGAGAAACTGATGTGAATCTAAATATCAATTGTATACAAGAGTTTGGACTAAACTAAATCAGAAACTAAATACAAGTGAGAAACCAAACAACATCTGAAAGGCTAAGAACAGGGCAAATACAGTTTTTATTCCAGTCACTCAGCGTATTAGTGTAGCAGATCTTTTGACTGTGCCAACAGTCTGCAGAGGGCTTTATGAATGGAGAAACTTCTGGAGTAAAATGACTCTGAGGAAATGAGTTATTCTTGTTATCAATTGGGGACAGTTGCCATTCATTCTAGAAAAGAAAGCAGACCTATTGCAGGGCATGAAATGAAATATTTCAGGTAGTAGCAAGTAACTGATGCCATGGGGTGACCTTTGCCCACGGCAGCCAATTTCAGTCTGCAGAGAACAGCAATAGGGCCGGCTACCCTGTTTGACCCCCACAAGCTGAGCCTGGAAAACAAGACACCCGAGTAACTTCAATTTCTTTCTCATAAATGCTCCCCATTTTGTTAGCTGTATTCCCTCAGCCTTTGTTCTAATTCAAATTTTCCTGATGGTCTTATACATTTTTTATGAAATTATTAATTCATCCAGCTGAGACACTGAGTGAGAAGCAGATCTATCAATTTACTCTGTGGTTCAGGGTTTTTTTGGGTTTCCCCCTTGGGTTTTTCTTTTTGTGTTTTTATTTTGTGGGGGGAGGGGGAGTGTTGAGGGAGAAGTTTGCAATGCAATATTAGTTTTTCTGGGTTTTCAGATTCTACTTTTAAAAATGCATTATCAGAAAGTTATTTTTGGAAAATAGAAAAAGGTAAACTGAGATAAGCTATAACACCTTTTTTTTTTTCTTGAATACTCACTTATATATTCAAAATTATTCAGTTTCTTCTGGATTGTGGCAGAGCATCAATCAACTAGAATTAGTTTTAGGAAGAGCATTGAATTTATTTAAATAACTAGTTAGAAGAGGAAGGGCAACCAACAACAAAGAAATTGTGTGTCTGCCTTTTGGAATTGCTCCAAGATTAAATCATTTGGGAAAATCACTCCATAACCTACTGCTAGTCTTGAGATTCTTGACACTGGGCATGCAATTGCTCCCAAATTAGGATTATTGGGTTCAAAGCTCCAAACCTTTTAAAACCCTTAGGTAAGGAAAATGGACTTACGATCCTAATGTAGCAATTTGGGGCATAAATCATGTAAGTGCAAGGAGCAGACCAGAAGATCACAGCTCCTTGAGGCAATTTAGATTTTAATCAGATTTTTCGCTCTGACTTAAAAGTGTTTGACTTAGAAAAATGGTTATTAGAAAAACTGACTGCCAGTAAAGCAAAAAAGAAAAATTAATTGAGAAAAAATGTACCCTACATGCTACGAAGATTCCCAGCATATGCTAGGAAAGGGGGCAGAAGAACGCTTTAATGAACTATTATAACACATAGCAGTATTTCTCTCTCTTGTCTAGAGACATATAGAAAAATGCATGTTGTATTTTCCTCCTCTATGCTGACATAAGAAAAAAATAACAGAAAATTACTTATTTTTTTAATTTAAAATTTAATGGTACCCTTTAATAGGCTATAGATTTTCATTAACCTCTTCTGCCAGGTTTGGTCAGGCTCATTTCTGTAGCAATGGATCAATCAGCCAATATTTGTTGAGTCTTCGCTGGCCCAGGAATCAGGATGATTACTGAAGAAGCATTAAACATGGTTTCTGCTCTTAGAAAACTTGCAGTGTTGTTGCGGAAAGAGGTAGAAAGAACCTAAGACATTCCAATCTCAAGCCCAAGAAACCAAATGGCACATCACTCATGCTCACAAAAGTCGAGATAAGGATAAATCTGTCTGCTCATACTACTCCACCAGCATCTCTGATGGCAGGAAATTGAATGATGGACAGGATTTGAATAGGTGCAGGGGCGACCTGAGTTACTCCAGAGCAGGGGACAGTTGAGCAGGCTCAGGCAGGAGAGAGGAGCCATGCCTGCTCTCAGTCAAGGAGCCAGACCTTGACTACCAAAGACATTTACACCAGATGTGATGTATCTAACCTTTATTTAGTGCTATTACTGTCTCTCTGGGTTTCATGCATTTGTATTATTTCTATGTTCTACTACTTCTTTTCTATTGGTGCCAGAGATCTCGGGGTGAAAGGATGCCATCCTAAAAAAGAGCAGCCTGGTGGTCTATGCAGATTGCATTATCAGAAGGAGACCACAGCAGGGTGGCTAAGAGGCCTCTGTCCTGTCCCAGGGTAAGGTGGGCCTGTCTGGACTGAGGGAGATGCAGCAATGATGGATGCAAAAAGGATCCCCCTGCATTCAGCAAACATTCTTAAACACATTCTATGGGCCAGTCCAAGTAAGACTTGGTGGAGGAAGGGGAGACTCACAGTACCCACCTAACAAGAACACGATGCCGGTGCTGCAGGAAGCACAGATGCAGGCTCTGCCACGTCTGGCTAGAGATGGCACAGCCGGGAATGGCAGGTGTGCATGGAAGGCTTCACTTAGAACACACTTACCTGGGCTGGGAAGGATGAGTCAGATTTTTTCAAGTAGAGAAAAAAGAAAACCCAAAGGCAGAGGGTCAAAGTTAATTAGAAAGTTAAGCTAGCAAATTTAAGACAGAAATTTAAAAACAGAATTAAAGAGCTGCTGTCATCTTCTTTGTTCTCAAACATTTCATCTCGGGGATTTTTGAAGGAAAAAATAAAGAAGAAGCGATCTCATCCTTTGACCAACACCAAATCATTCATGGATAAAGAGGCAGAACTGTGGAGGTATGCGCCAAGGGCCAGTGCTCATGCTTCATTGGGAAGCACAACACAGGAAGCGAAAGGTAGCGAAAGGACGCGAGGCCATGCATTAGAGCATCAGCTGCTGTGTCATAGTAAGCCAGGAAGTGACACGAGCAGTGGCTTGAGAGGTGCGGGGTACCTCTGGACACGCTGTGGGAAAGACCAACTTCAGATGACACATCGGAGGGAGGAACACAGTCCTGCTGCTGCCTCCCTGCTGCCTCTCCTCTTCCCCACTCACTGAAATGAACCCCATGGGAAGCTCACCCCCTGTATTTCTGGGTTGGGTTACCTGGCCTCTGTTGGAGACGCAGATCTTTAGTGGCATGGCATTTTATGGCGTCAGAAGTGGGGGAAGAGCTGACCACACAGGGGAGCCATGAGGCCCTGCATGGAGCTTCCTCCCTAAGCTGTGAGTCTAGGAGGTAAGGGTCCAGGGCATGGGTGAGGGCGGAAGAATTTGACAAGGCCTATAGGATGTATCCTATACCAGATGTTGTTACCACACACATAGCTCATTATAATTGTGATCAGTTCTTCCTCTATGCCAAGAAATTTTCAGAGCCATTGCTTGTTTAATTTTTTCATTCTGCATCCTTACTATGCCCAATTATTTAGATATTCTACAGGGGTAGCATGAGGAAAGGAGAAGCAGAACCCACGCTGGCTAATGCTGTCACTTAGATGCTCACTGGCAAGACTGGGTAAGCAAGACAGAGATGAATAAGGACAGACGGCATCAAATTGAGGGGTAAGGGGGAGGAAATATGTTTCCGATTGAGTTTGCTTGAGTTGGTTTTCAGCAAAATTTCTTCTTTGTTTTAAATTTGGGGCATAGGGGACTGAATGTGTTCATTTCCTTAAAACGCGATCCTCTTCTCAGGGGAGGAGCAGGGAGAGAGGGATGAGAAGGCACAAATGTCCACCGTCAGTGTCGTCTGGAAACCACGCCCAAGGCTGCCACGAGACATGCAGAACTGGAATATTCACAGCTATTGGCCTTGCAGCCCACTCTGACATGTTCATAAACTTGAAGACTACTTCTGGATAAAAACTTTAAAACAAAAGAGATGACAACAAAAAAATCAATGCATTGAATTCATATACATAAGCAGTCCAGATGGCAACCAGCCCCTGACAACAGTCACGAGCCTCCTCTGGAAGATTGCTCTTAAGGTTGAAAATGATGATATCACCAGCAACTGACCGGAGGATGAGGGTCCATCCGACCTGTGGCTCTGCTGGTTCCCTCCCAATCGTCCCCACACAGGTCAGCAGGGGCCTGCAGATGTGCCTCCTTTCACTGGGGCTTGCTGCTGACTGGAGCTAATCCTCACAGCACCCTGCAAAGAATGAAAAGGAAAAGATTAGCAGCACCTGAAGCTACAAATGAGAAGGCTGTGCGGTGGAAGAGGGAGCATTGTTTTTCCCTTTGTCCACCTGAGGCCCTAATTTTTAAGCTGTCCAGTATAACTAATTACAAAAGAGAATTCTGAATGCACCATTTTGTCATGCTTATAGTCAAACAACCCATTTAATTTTTTTGTCTAAGTAGATTTGGCATTATGCAAATGTTTTACCTGATGTCTAACACCATTTTTCGAAAGTTCACTCATTTTCATGCCATCTTTACCATTTCATTTTGTCTCTGGGTCCCTTTTAAATGGGTCCACTTCGAAAAACGCTGTTTTAACCTTCTCTAAGCAACACTACTGTGAAATTCCTATTGCGATGGGCTCTGTATGTGTGTGTTTGCGCATGTATCACTTTTAAAAGGTGTAATCTCACCCAAGTTTTCTGGGGAAAAACAAAGAATGGATATGGCACTCTTTGATTAGAGCACTGAAACAATAAAATGGAAAGAAATACAGTATCAGAGACCATCTATTGTCCTGGAAATGCGTGAGTCTAAACCAATGTGTCCACTGGTTTCTGAAAGGGAAATACTGCAATATTTGCTGTGTGTTGAGAAGCACTCTTTCTAGAAATCTAAACCTATATTCACACTTACTCATCTTTTTATATAAATTTTTCTAGTAAACCTATAAATAACCAACCAAAAAATGTTAGTCAAGTACTATATAAAATCATCTCGTGCTCTACAATGTGTAAAAATGCTCTATGAATTTAGGTTAATTTGCAGGGAGTAGGGGAGAGCCCTTGGATGTCCTTGGTCAAAAGGCCTGCCGCGGCTGAATGCCCAGCCTTCCTGCTCCCCATCCCCTGGGGGTCCGGTCGCTGAACAGGGCACAGCAGTGCAACTGTGCAATCAGGGCAGACTCTGCAGAACTTGTGGTCAGACCTCCTGCCACTTCCTTCCTGTACAGAATGTGGCCCCAGTTCACTTTTGTTAGGGACTGACATACAGAAAATCTGGACTCATATCAAGATAGGTAGAGAGACTTTTAACACCAGGAAATTGGTGAAAAAGAATAGTTTTGATCCAGGGTAAGAAATGAAGGAGTTCCACTTTCACAATAGTGCTGACTAGCTCCATCCTTCCCCAGCAAAACAGCCATGACAAGGAAAATCTATTGTAAAAAGCAATGATATAAACTCCCCAGAAATCATCCTAAGGCCAAACAGCAAATTTAGAAGCATTTATTCAAGAAACTCTTCTAAATCTTGGGAAGAACAGGAAGAGTCTGAGTCACAAGCCGTTCTCTCCCTCCTCCCACATTCCAGAAGTTCAGAGAGGCGGGCAGCTCCACCCTGGTAAGATGTGGCCAAGGAAAAGGAGATTCTTCTTTCCTTCTCTGCCAGGCAAGGGATACAGTATCTCACTGAGAGGGAAGGGCCACCAGCATTTCTCATTTCCTTCAGCTCTGACTTGTAGGAAATAAGTTCCTGGCAAGTGTGGCTAAGAGGTTGCTTCCTTCCTTCCCCCACCCCTCCACTCATCAAGGAGAGGTCCCAACTCAGGCATGGCGGTCCAAGAATACAAGAGCCCCAATGATCTTCGTGTCAGCTAATGGTGGAGGTTCCAGGCTGGAAGAAACAAACCAAGAAGTTCAAAAGCTACTGCCCCTGCCCAGCACCCTGCTCTTAGGAATCTCACCCTCTTCCTGGCAGAGGCTCAGAGATTTTGCCAAGGGGTAACAATGCAGACCACAAGAACAAAGAGCTCTGAGTTTCCTCCCAACGGAACCGAACTTCTTTGAAACAGAGTGTGGGAGGTTCAAGCCTAAGGGTGTTCTCAAAAACACTAGAGGTTTTGGTGGCTGGTAGCTCCCTGAGAACAACAAACTAAACTGTGGGTCAGCTAGTTTGCCAGAGATGAACAGGGGAAAGAGGGAGCCAGGAAAACCTACCTGGGGTCAGAACAAACTTCAAAGGTTGGCCCTGCAAATGGGGACGCATTTAACAGGATCAGAGTAGGAGCAACTTGAGCCCCAGACAAAAACAATAGTGCAATCTGCCAGCAATTCAAGGAAACTATCATAGGGATGGGATATCATGTGAGACAGACATCTTAACAGATAAACCAGGGGGTGGGGAGAACAGTCGAAAAGAGTCCTGCTTAAACTGCTGTCACCCCAGGGCGAAGGTGTGCTGCTGAGCAAGGCCCCACCTGGTGAGAAGCAGTATCATAAGGTTCATACTACCAGGGAGATAGACATCACTATAATGGGCCCGCCAAATAAACAAGCAAATAACATCAAAAACAAGCCCCAGAGAAAGGAAAGAGATCAGTATCCAGAGTTGCTACAATATATTTCCTAAAAATGTTCAGTTTTCAACAAAAAAGTGAGACATGGAAGGAAATCTGAAAGTATGACCCATACACAGGGAACAAAGAAAGAAGCAAAGTGAGGGGGTACAGACATTGGATTCAACAATCAGAGACTTTACAACGAGAAGGGAATGACACTTTGAAAAGGACAGGAAGGTATGATGACAATGTCTCATCAATAGACAGTATTAATAAATTATTTGGAATGCTTTTGCAATAAAGCTTTGCCTTTCTCCTCATGTGTGTACTTCACCATTTATTGACTTGTATATCAGTACGACTTTATGGATATTTATTTTATTTTACACTTTGAGTTATACCCCAATACATCTTTATTTTCTTGCTCAAATTGTTTCAGCTTTGCTTGTGGGGAGCTCTTTCAGTTGGTTCCAGAGTCCCTTTGACATGCTCTGTGAATATCGTGTGCATGAAAAAGGGGTCACATACTAAACCTGACAAGCTCAGGGAAGGCCTGCAAGGTGGGCTTTACAAACTCAGAGACCAAAGGAAACCACGTGGGACGGTCTGAAATGAAAACTTCCGAACTAAAAGTGAGTCATGGCGGGTCGTCATGCCCTAGGCTGGCATCTTCCTTGGCAAAGCACAACCTCTACCTTCACTGAGCCTGTCTGTTGTCTTTTTTGCATCCACAATAACACAGCTTTGGAATATCAGAGTAAGCCTCTTTTATTCCAGATCCCTCAAGGCACAATCTCCCACCAGAGCATGAGACCACAGACCCCTCGTGGTTATTTTGTTGCCCAAATGCCCTCTCTACAAGGTCTGTCCAGAAGGTATCCAGCCATTGACTTTGAAAAATAGAGACATTTATTGAAGGAGATACAAGAAAAATTGTACATAAGACAATGATGCCTCAGTCCCCTTCAACGTAGGTATCTTGGGACCTCACATAGTTCTCCCAACCTCGCTTCCACTGTTCAAAACACTACAAAATCCTTTGTTGGAATTGCCATCAGCTGCCCAGTCATATTTTCCTGAATCTCATTGATGGTCTGAAATCTCTTTGCTTTCAAAGGTAATTTTAGTTTTAGGAAAAGCCAGAAGTCACAGGGCACTGCACAAGATGTGATGCATGAGCAGGCACATTGTTGTGATGAAGCTGCCACACCAGGTGCCCGTAGCAGTGGCCATTTGGTTGTATCACATCTCTCAACCAACAAAGAACATTGAGGTAGTACTCCTTAGTAATTGTTTGGCCTGGAGGGGTGTGCTTGTGATGGACAGCACTCTCCCAATCAAAAAACATAATTAACATGGTCTTGATCTTGCCCCAACCTTGCTGCACCTTCTTCAGGTATGGAGAACCAGGCGACTTGCATTGGGACAACTGGACCTCTGTTTCCTTAGCTGTAGACTCAGGATTCATCTCAGGTTATAACCTTCTTGAGGAAGTCTAGTTCAGGGTAGTTTGAATCAAGTCATTAGCAACTGCAGCACTATGCTCTTTCTGCTTTGGTAGCAGAAGCTATGGAACAAATTTTGCCATGACATGTTTCATGGCAAGATCCTGCATCAAAATCTCAGACACAATAGTTTTCGGACTCCCCAGATCAGCTTCTAGTTCTCGCCCTGTCAGTCACTGATCTTTGTTAAGTGCAGCCCGTACATGTTCAACATTCTCAGGTGTTCTGCTTGTTGCAGGTTTTCCAGAATGTGGATCACTTGCAACAGATTCTTGACCATTTTTGAAGCATTTGTGCCACACTTTTATTTCCCCTGCACTCATTGAATCATCCCCAAAAGTTTTCTGAATCACCCGAATAGTTTTCATAGAGGAATGTTCAAGCTTCACGCAAATCTGATGCAGATTCATTGCTCTACTCAGTCACTTTGAATGTGACAGCCACACAGTACACATGCCCACACAACAGGTACACATGCCCCCACTGACTAGTACAGTGAAGTCATCATTGTTCACACATGTGCATTCCAGTCTGCTTTCCTTGGCTGCCAGGTTACATAGAATCAGGCAAACCATTCTTGTTATATAATGCCTGGGCTTTTTCCAGACAGACCTCATATGTGCTCTAAAGGCTAACTATCCTTTACTCACCAATGTAGAAGTATGTGTCCTTCCATTTTACTTTTTATCTAATCTCAGAGGTCTTGTCACTTTGCTTTCTCTTGCCTCCCTGACCACCACCAATGGATTTCCTGTAACTGCCCCATGTCTTCTTTGATTCTGATGTTTTTCAAAGTAATGAAGACGTTCTCAAATTGATTGGGGTGATGGTTGTACAACTCTGAAAATATGCTAAAAACCATCCAATTATACACTTTAAATGGGTGAATCTCAATAAAGCTCTCATTAAAAGAGAAAAATAGTCTGGGGAAGTACTTTTTCATAAAGCAAAAGAGAACTATATAGACAAAAGCTGTACGTAATAAATCCTTTGCCAAGCAGAATCAAGCATGTGTCCCCAGGGAGGGGAGGGAAAGGAGTACATTAGCAATATCACCTACACATCAGGAGTGACTACCAATAAGAAAGGCTTAAAAACTTGTGAGCACTTTTAAAGAAAATTAGACCATCCCAAATCATTCAAATGACTTCTTTCTTAGGGCCTTGGGGAGTGTTACATGTGGCAT